CATCCTCTAATAAGATTGCAACTTGAAATTGTCTATTAACATCTTTTTGTGCATCAGCTAAACAAAAACCAAAATAAATAGTCGAAACTATTTTAAACAAGAAATTTGTAAATCTTACTTCATCGTATTTTCTATTACTTTAATTTTTGTTATATAAATATCTAAATCAAGAATATGAATAATTCCATGATCACCATTAACAAGTACACACTTAATATGATTTGATGTTGTAGGAAGAAAAACACCTGAATCATCCTAATAATGGTAAGTAATTCATATCATTTGACCACATTGTATATGTAACTTTGCCTGTTCTTACACTTCCTAATGAACATTTTTGTTAAGTATAATAAATATTAATATCATCATTTTCACGAATTAGTCAAGACTTCTATCAACATAAAAATTTCATAACATTTTGCTAATTAAATTTCTTCTTGTGTTGCATTAAAAGTATTGAACAATTTAGATAAAATATCTTACTCTTTTTAAAATCTTGACTTTCAATTCGAATAAATCCTATCATCGAGAGTTTTATATTGAATTTGTTGATTCACCATCATCTTTCGAACGTACACCACTAAACATTTATTCTAAAAACTGTTAGAAGATTTACCTTTTTATTTACATCAGAAGAACATCTTTTGGTGTTATGATTTCCAACAACAACAACAACAACAATACCATAAGCTAATAGTTCACGTTCCAACCGAAATATAATTATATCATTGTAATAATAGAAATGAATGATGAGCACATACTTGAGTATTGTGTGCGTGTTCGTCGTCTGTCTCGTGTGCTCACAAATGAATATACACAACAGAGAGAAAAATGGAAAAAAATATAGGTCAAGACGACAATCTTTTTTTTTCTTTTCTTCTCTCGTCCGCAACTTATCGTTCATGTTATCATTGATCATCAATGATAACATGACATAATTAATGTCCTTTTAGCGTATAAATATGAATGATTTTGTATGTAAAATCATTCAATTTATTGAATCATATAATAATCTTTTCCTTTTCTATTTTAGAACGATTGCAACAACATGATAAGGACAAGAATTTTTTTGAGCCCGCAATTAGAAACACTTGAGCCCGATGAAATTCGTCCGGGCTAAAAAAAAATGTTTTTGTGTCTTTTGACTCCGAAAGATGAGATGAGCCCGATTATCCATTGTTTTGAGCCTGCTATAGTTTATATCGTTTGAAAAAAAATAACATAATTTTATATAACAGAAAAAAAATAAAGAAGATACAGAAAAAATTAACGAGATAAAGCTGGTCTTGCTTTTTTGGTCGTCCACGTCGTTTTCCTAAACTTTCTAATTTATCTAGATCAGATATAGTGTATAAGCCGAAATGAATTGAAGCACCAACTGCATGTTTGCATACATATGACTTCAAATTTGTTTGGCAACTAATTTGTCGACAAAATTCCATGCTTGTTTGACCATGGTGGAATGTTGAAGAAATTCAATAACAAACGTGTAAGAAATTCGAAAAATACTGAATGCACGAATTACGCATCACGATAATCTATCGTATTGGTGAAATTTATCATGCACGCGCCATCTGCACAATATCTTACGACGGGGCTCAAAGCAATGGATAGCCGTGCTCATCAGATACAAAACATTTTTTTGAGTCCGGACGAATTTCATCAGGCTCAAATCAAACAAACAGAGCTCAAATGTTTCTAATTGTGGGCTCAAAAAAATATTTATCCACATGATATGGTACAATTCAACATCGAATAATACCATAAAATAAAATGTAGTTATCAGTTTTAATTTTTGTTTTTTTTTCTTTTTTATATCATATGGAGGATGGTAAGTCCTTCTATGATTTTTTTTAATAATTCATTTTTTTTCTTTTCCTTTTAGTCATCAATATCATCGCATTACGTGATCGTTAACAGGATGAGTTATTTTTTTTTCTTTTTTGAGTATGAGAATAGAGGGTGAGTTCTGTCCATTGAGGTTAGGTTCGCGTTATATGAAGGACTTCCGGGTAGTCCCTAAAAGCCGGGCCAGGAACTGCTTTGGTGTCCGTGGCACACGACTGGGCCCCCAGACTCACTGACACATGACATCGAATGGGTGCATGTGGATGACGTGAGTCTTTCCACGCGTGCATGAGTCTTACGCTCGCCACGGCTCCACTAAGTTAGTTCCTGGTCGCGCGCGAATAGAATAAGCATGGCTTTCATCAATTCAACGTGAATTTATTTGAAAGGAAAGAAAAAAATCCATCGTGTTGGGTTCATTCGATAGAAAAGCGTTGAACACGATTATTATCCTCATCGGCGACATAGAGATTGCCTTGTCGATCGAAGGACAAACCACGGAGATATTTGAACTGATTTGCTCCTTCTCCGTAACCTTTTCCACCCACAATGACAGTGCCTTGCTTCGCTCCTTTAGGCCAACGCATCACTCGATAATTCACCGAATCTGCCACATAGATGGTACCCAACGTATCGACGAACAGTCCATTAGGATGCGACAATTGTGTCAGAGCATTCCCTTCGCCTTGACCTCCAGCGACGACAATTCCTTCTTCTGCACCTTTATTCCATTTCATTACACGATGATTCCAGTAGTCTGACACGTAGACAGTCTGTTGTTGATCGACAAAGAGGTATCTCGGCCAGTTGAGTTGATTGAGACCAGCACCTCTACCATTGCCACCAGCTACGAGAGTTCCATTCTTGTCTCCTATTTGATATCGTCTTACTTCATGTTCCTCGTAGTCAGAGATGTAGAGATATCTCTGATCATCCATGGCCAATCCCAAGGGATCGATGTTGTCGATGAGGATTTCACCTTGAGTTGTGCCACTGCGACGAGACCATCGTACAACTCGTCGATTCCATGAATCACAGATAATGAGACTATCAGTCTCTTTGTCAATCAACACATTGGTTGGTTGATCCAATTGATCCAATCGTTTCCCTTTGTCATTGCCACCAGCTACCACTTGTCCATTCGTATCACCCATCTTCCATTGAATGATACGATGATTCAAGTGGTCAGCGATGACAATCGTTTGATCATCGTCAACGAAGAGATCTTCAGGGCGCCAGAGTTGATTGGTGGCATTGCCACGTCCGTGGCCTCCAGCAACGGTCACACCATTCTGTGCCCATCGGGCATCGGCTGGAATATTGGGGATAACTACAATGAACGAGAAAAAGAATCGTTATCGTCGTTATCTATGAATAAAAAAATTCTTCTTCTTCGAAGGGAACTTGATAAAACTATCGAGAATATCTTTCTCTAACATGCTCTAAAAAAGCGAAAGGTTCTCCTAGTTTCATAGACAACAAAAAAAAGAACTTGGTAACAATTCTTATGAGAATCCTTTA